TCTCAGGGCAGTAAAACACTGTGTGACAGGAGCTACCCTTCTGGAAAGACTGAAGAAAATTTACCTTTGAGGCTTTCCTAGTCAAAATAAGATGGGGGAAGCTCAAGGCCCCTGATTCCCTTTTCCCTTACAACTGCCCATACCCAGAACACACACACTCTTTCTCTTTCTCTCTCTCTCCTACTTCCTTTTCAAGAGAAAACTTCTTATAATCCATAATTTCAGATAAAAGGGTTAAAATGCAGCTGTTCCTAGGAGTGAGTTTTAGCCCAAGGATAGGTGATTGATATTCAGTCCTCTCCTGTCTAAATTAATGCGGAGGCTCAGTGAAAGTATCTTGGAGAGCACACAGTTGTTCTAGTTTTCCTCATTTCAGTATCGGTAAATATTGACCTTAGAGGTAGTTCCAGCATGTGCAGCAGGGTATGCTTGCAACTTAAGAGAGACCATAAAACAATGTTTCTAAAGAAGCATACAAGAAGAATTCAGTCTGTGGAAAATTGGACAGTAGCACTGAAAGATGCATCTAAAGATCACAGGAGAAGCATTTGCTTGCGATTACTTTGATTTATATTGAACTTGACCCAGGAGCCTCCCCCAACTGCTTCCTTCCTATACATTGTGCATTTATGAAATCTATACACACTTATGGCTGCCATGTAATATGTACAAGATACACTGATGACAGAAAGGTATTACTGCTTCAAACAAATGCAAGCTATTCAGATTTGCAAAATCAGTAAAAAAATGAGCTATGTATATAATGAATGACCTTGCAGTCTTTCCTTGACTACTCACAATTCATAATGATGCTACATCCTACCCAGTTAAGAGAAGAGAAACATTTATCTTTCTAATGAGTGAACAGCTTGAGGAAGTGGTTCTGGGGATAAATGAAGCTCATAGTAGTATTCAGTGAAGTATTACCTTTTCACCAGTCCTAAATTTGTTTCTATACATTGGGCATTTCCCACTTTTAACATCATTAATTCAGGCCCTTCATGCCCTTAAATTTAAACTGTGTGAGTAGGAATCTTGGGTAGAGACTAATAAAGATGGTAGAGATTTAAAAAAGATGTCAGTTTCAGAAACCTAAGATGATTAATATTACTAAGCTCAAAAAACTGTAAACAAAAAGGAGTTAGTATGGCAGTTTGAATATATCAGAGATCGTTCATATTCTAATGGGCGTGTTCATTTCTGCTAATTGGTTGAGAAACCAATTTTGATTAAACACAGTTAGGCTTTTCCTAATGTTTGCTAGATAAATAAAATCACCAAGGGAAGTCATGGCATGTCTTTGGAGGTCCTAGAAACTGTATATTACTAATTGTCTAAAATGGATTTATTTTGTTATACAGGAAATACGTTTGACTTTTGACCTTACTTAGGTCAGTTAGGTCTGATTATTAATTGAAGATTATAATTTTCAGATTAGAATCGATTTTTCTGTCCTTATTGGTAAATCAAGATTATTTATGCTAGAATTTAGTATATTAAACTGATGTACTGATTTTATTGATTTCTTAATTTAATATAGTTTAATCAAATATTTTTTAAAATCTATGACGCTATTTAAGGCTCTTGGGGAAGAGCAAATTATAAAACATGATCCCCACATTTAGGGAGCTCATTTTGAAGCTGGAAACAGATGGTTTGTATTTCAGACTTCAACTTCATTTGACATTGTAGGAAGCAAAAGGCATTTGAAGATTTTTACCCTCATTTTATAAATAGAGATTGACACGATTAGAACTCTCCAAGTGAGTGGTAATGAGGCCACCATTTGGACATGTAAAGATGGAGGAAAGGGAAAGGAAAATGGAAAGTGTGGAGGTAGGGAGGGTCTTGAGAAACCTGTTGAGGTAGGCAACAGGCAAGATCAAGGTGAAAGACGATCAGAATATGGACTATGATGGGAGATGAATGGAAGTATGGGCAAGATTTAGTAATTTTCAGAGATGTGGTTCCCAAGGAAGAGGCAAAATTCAGGAGGCTATAGGATTTCTGTGCTCTGTGATCAGTAAATAAGGGTGGTAGTTTAGAACAAAAGCAATCCTAAAAAGATAGGTAATTCTTGAGATTATAGGATCTCAAGAGAGTCTAGTGGGCAACTGGAACAAATGAGTAAGCAATGTTTATTTGGTTATGACACTGTCTTTGATTTGATTATTTTCTTCCTATATTGTTAATTACCTTTATATTACTACCGGACTGAGAATATTTAACTTGCTTCTGTTGGGTACATTTAGAACAAATGCCCATAGATTTCAGTGTTTCTATTGTAAGGCTACTTTATGTGAGAATGGTGAGGTTAATTTAGCTGTATTCTATTTCTGGTTAATTTTTTTTTAATGTTTGCCCTTTTGGCTAAAATGAAACTTAGGATGATTTATGTTTATGCTTTCTCTCATTACCAGGATTCCAAATTTTAGTTCATTTGCTCATTGTATTGGGGAATAGATGTTTCTTTGTTCCACAAGAGTCCTCCAGATTTGACTCTTATTTTAGGATTAAATGTATATCTTTGTATAGGTAGTTCACAGATAGATAAACTTTTAAAATTGGCAGGGACCTCATAAGGCTTTTGAGATCATCTAGTGCAGCCCTCACATTTCTCAGATTAGTAATCAAAGGTAATAATAATACAGCAATAGCTAACATTTATTGAGCTTTTATTGCATGCAATCGTTATAACAATCCTATAGCATAAGTGAAGTGACCATTCCATAGTCCCATAGAAAGCACCAACATAGATGACCTTAGGAACTGTTTTCTTTATAAATGTACTTCACAATTTAAACAATTTAGTTCAGTGCAGAAGAGAAGAAAAATTAGTATTTTCTGTTATTAAATATTTTCTTTAATATTTAAATTAATAAAAAGAATACCAATTATTAAAACACTTCACACATATTTAGTATAGTAAAATAACATCATTTAATATAGTTATTGTTGTTTTTAAAGACATTTTCCTTACTCCTAAAAACACATTCATGTTTTAGTAAATATGTCTTCTTTACCCAGTAGTTGTGTGTGTGTGTGTGTGTGTGTGTGTGTGTGTTTTGAGATAGGATATCGCTCTGTCACTCTGGCTAAAGTCAGTGGTGTCTTCATAGCTCAAACTCAAACTTGTGAACTCAAGTGATCCTCTTGCTCAAGTGATCTTCAGGCTCCTGAATAGCTGGGAATACAGGCGGGGTGCCACCACACCCAGCTAATTTTTCTATTTTTTGTAGAGATAGGGTCTTGAGATGTTGGTCAGGCTTGTCTTGAACTCCTGGCCTCAAGCAGTCCTCCAGTTTTTTTAAACTGTGGTAAAATATACTTAACATAAAAGTTAACCATTTTTATCATTTTTAAATGCATAATTCAGTTGCATTGACAGAATACATTCATGATGTTAAACAGCCATCATCACTATCCATTTCTAAAACCTTTTCATCATCACGGACAAAAAACTCTATAAAATCTTTAGTTTCAAGTACTAGAGGAATGCCGGCTACTTTCTTTCTTTCTTTCTTTTTTGGGCCTGGTCTCACCCATCTTCCAGCAACCCAATATTTAGTGTCATCTGCTTGTAGTTATTGAATGCTGAATTGTCATTTGAATTAAAATGGTTTCTTTAATTTGTACTTGTTTCATGTTTCTAGATATCTATGAAGATTGCACTGCCATTCATTTATTGTAACTTTATATTTGTTTCTTTTGCAATAATGAAACATATATACATGAACTTTGAAAGAGATTGAACTAAGTAATGTAAACACATAGAAAATTTTATTGAGTAAGGGAAGAAAGACTGGGGAATAAGGAGTCTGTTATACAAAAAAGTCTGGCAGTGTCAGATACAACCAGTTTCCTTCCCCTCCTGTTAAATGTCTGGAGCAGGAAGCATACCCAGTATAAAAGATATTTGGGCCTGTGATCTGAAAGAATTCAGTCCCCAAACACTGGCTATGAACTGGACTCAATAGGAAAGATTGTTCAGTAGATCCTCCCTCTGTATTACTCTTTGTGTTCAAACAAAAATACAGCTGTTTAAAGAGTTTTAAAAAATTATTTCTAAAAGAGCATAAAACCCCATTCAGATTACATTCATTTTCTTTTTTTAAAATTTATTTTTATTTTAGCGTATTATGGGGGTGCAAGTGTTAAGTTTACTTATATTGGCCATGCCCCCCTCCCCCCTTGAGTAAGAGCTTCAAGCGTGTCCATCCCCCAAACATTGCACATCTTACTCATTGTGGTTGTATATACCCCTCCTCTCCTCCCCCCTCCCACCCTCCTGACACCCGATAAATGTTACTCCTATATGTCCACTTAGGTGTTGATCCGATAATACCAATTTGCTGGTGAGTCTATGTGGTGCTTTTTTTCCCATTCTTGAGATACTTAGTAGAATGGGTTCCAGCTGTATCCAGGAATATACAAGAGGTGCTATATCACCATTGTTTCTTAAAGCTGAGTAGTATTCCATGGTATACATATACCACATTTTATTAATCCACTCTTGAATTGATGGGCACTTGGGTTGTTTCCATAGCTTTGCAATTGTGAATTGTGCTGCTATAAACATTTGAGTGCAGGTGTCTTTTTCATAAAGTGACTTTTGATCTTTTGGGTAGATGCCCAGTAGTGGAATTGCTAGACATTCATTTTCTACATGTTCCATTCTAAAATGTGAAATATCCTTTCTACATCTCTTCCTCATTCATAATAATCATATAACTATTGATGTGTAATAAAAAATTGGAGAAATTATCAAGGAACCATTCTCAGAAAATTATTTTAGTTTTTTTATAAAGCAAATAAGAATTTAAGAAAATAAACATGGAGATCATTTGCATTTTAATGTTACTTGTTAAGCAATTTAATTTTGTGTTATTTTAATGGTATATTAATATACTTCTGGTATAAGCAAAAGTGTAATTTTTGTCTGCCTTTATTATTCTTTATTTTTAAAGAGCGACACTCCTAATGAAATGTGTTTATTACAGCTCAAAGATGGTGGCAAGGCGTCCCAGGCGAATGTAAGAATAGGTGATGTGGTTCTCAGCATTGATGGAATAAGTGCAAATGGAATGACTCATCTTGAAGCCCAGAACAAGATTAAGGGTTGTACAGGCTCTTTGAATATGACTCTGCAAAGGTAAGTTGCTTTTTGTTTGCCTCTGAGAAAGGAAACAACATTAAGCAATGTGTTTTTGTGTGTCTGATTCATGGTGTTAACTAAGGAGCAGTTTCTACCACCATTGTTTCAGGTAAATAATAAAAAAATATAATGGCTCCTAAATTGAGTAATTGCGCAATATGAGAATTGCTGAAAGCTATGGAATATTTTCCCATCAAAAGGCATGTATTCATATACTCAAAAATTATGTGTTTTTCAGTTTCAGAGAATTCAAGAATTCTTGAAATGTCTCAGTAGAGTACAGGCTAGGAATGCTTATTGAAGGGTAAAATTCTTGGTCTTAAAATTCCAAACAGCATATTAGAGGATATTCTCTTAGGGTGTGGTTTGGCTTTCCTTTGTTTGTCTTTTTCCCTTTTATTTATTTATTTTTTTGTTTGTTTTTGAGTAGAAAATAACTTCTAATTTGCCCATTTCAAGGCTAGACTTTTTGAACTTCTTCAAGTCAATCTGGCCTCAATTATAAAATAGTTAATCATTATGTGGATTATAGTATATCAGGTATTTTGAGCATCACAACATTGAACCTGCATTAAAATAATCTGGAATGCTTGTTAAAAGTATTGATTTTTATAATGAATCAGAATTTCTGGAAGTAAGGATTAGGAATTAAATTTGGTTAAGTTCTTTGTGATTATGATGACTTACAAAGTTAGAATCACTGCATATCTTGGGCTGAGGAGAAGGGAGGAGAAGGAGGGAATGGAAAGAGAGTGACTGAATGATAGCTCTGAAATTTAGCTTTGTAAAGAAGGTGTAATATCTTGATATCTACCAGGTAGTTGTGGAGGGTTTTATTAAACAAGTCTTGTTTTTGATGATTACAAAACGTGAGGATTCTGTATTTTATTAAATTAGGAAAACACCATTTCCTCCCCCAAAACATCTAGTAGTCTTCCATAAATTGTCATACATTTATGAATCTTTAAAATAGAGGTAAAATTTGTGGTATCTTCTGAAGGGTCCAAATGTGGAACCTTTTTTCTTGGAGTTTCTCCTAGACTAGTGTTTTGTGGAAAGCACTTTGGCAATACTTCTTTAGTCCTTGCTACTGCTGTTCTTGGGATTGCTATTTAAAGGATTTATACAGGGTAAATTATACTTAATTTGTCTGAATGAGTATCAATTTTGTCTTAAAAACGAATAGGAAATTTTTTTTTACAAACTTACACTGACTTAGATGTATGGATCTACTTTGATGTAGCATGACTTTCTAACCAGTTCCTTCTCTGCGGTCTTTTTTTATTTTTAGCAGGAGAAATTCCTTTTAGTGGGACTGCTGAATCCGTTGTTACATGTATTTTAAATTTTCCTAGCTACTGCATAGAAAAGTAGTCAATGAGAAAAGTAATCTATCACTAAAAAAATTCTCTTTTAATAGTATTCTTCTATTCTCTATATTTAGACATAACAGCACCAACCAAATGAAAGTAGTCATTTTGTTAAGTAGTTTTACCAAGTATGAATTTTGAAAAAGAACCAAGAGGTCAAGAAGCTTCATTTGTCTGAGGTAGCAAGGAAACAAGACAAATACAGATGATGATGGGCTGTTTCTCCCATTCTAAAATTGCAAGTTTATGTAAGGGTATGTCTTCTTTTTATGGGCTGCATGTCATTTCTTTCATTCCAGCCTGCTTCTTTTCACATTGTGCTGCTTATTTTATGACCCAGGACCCAGTATCTTATTTTCTGCTGAAATAGTTCTGGGCCCCGTACGACTAGATGAACCAGATGTTATTCTGTTTGGATGCATTTCCAATTATAGCAATCTGCTACTGACTCTAATAAAGATTCTTTTAGGTTATTTAAGTACAAAATTTAACAAACTAACTTGCAAAACATACTTAATTTTAAATATTTGGGTACACTATTTAATTTTAGCTTCATATTTGTGAATATAGGCATGCAGCGGCCCAAAATATGAGAGCATTTTAGAGTCCCATTGTTATTCATTGTAATTCTCTTCATGTGTTTGAACACTGTCTTGTGTTAAGTAATGTCAGCCTGTTTTCATAGTGTGCACATCTGAAAAACTTCATGGTATAACATTGACAATGCTACTGAAGAAATACTTTTGCCTTTTAAGGGAAAAATAAAAACTTTGAAAAGTTATCTTTGGTTCTTCCCTATACCAGGGCCATTCTTTCTGTAAGTTCTCTCTCTCATACCAAAGCAAATGTGGGTTTTTTTCCACTTATTTCTGAATTTGAGCAGCATTCTTAATTGGCCTCCGGTCACTTCTTTATCCCACCTCACACCAACCAAACTGCTCTGAATTCTCCTTCCAAACTGAATTACCTAGAAGAATACTTTTTCAGTGCAGCTCTTTGCTTCATAAACATGAATTTTCTTAGTGAATATGTAGCACTCTCCTTTCCTGACTTGTCTTAGTCTGGTTTCTCCAGAAGCAGAGCCTGAGATGGGGATTCTTGTGCAAGGGATCCATTGAGGGTGTTCTTTCACATGTTACTTGCAAAGACGTGAGTGAAGCGGGATTGGGAGGCAAAAGAAACTGAGAGGAGCAGAGATGGGATTTCGTTTCAGGCGATGTCTAGCCTCATTCGATCAGGCAGGAAACTTGGGATCAGGATTACACCATAGAGTCTGTCCCACCTTGAGGCAAGGGGACTGGGCTTTTGTACCCTCTCCCCTGCATTCGTTAGCTGTCCTGGACTTATGTTGTGTGAGGGAGCAGGGAAGAGGGCTAGGAGGTAGCTTCTATTGCTTCCACAGAAAGTTGCTGGCGTGAACCATTAGCAGTAATGCAGGGAGTACCTGGGGGATGAATGTACTAAACCGCTGGGAGTTTTCCAGGGGATCCAGGCCAGGCACCAACAGCATGTGCAGGAGCTTCTCTCCAGACCTGAGTCCTCTGCTCAGAAGATTATGTTCTCAGTAACTGAGTCCCACTCACACTTTCCTCTCCAGATCGCCACTGCTCCTCACTGAATACCCTCTGTTCCACTTAGGATGGGTTTCTCACTGACCTTTATGCAATCTCATGAAATTTACTTCATCTAGAATGCCCACCCCCTGTTCACTGCCAGTGCTGACGCTCCGGGGAGTTCCTTCAACACGTCAAGCATGTGTAATAAACCTGAGCGCGGCTAGAGTGCAGCGGCTGTGGCTCGCTGCCTGAATAATCCGCAGGGGCTTTGGGAGGTCTAAGGCTCGAGGACACTGAGTCCAGGGAGTTAGGGCTAGTCCTGAGGTACCATATCCTGGACCTGTGCTGTCTCTACAGAAAGTTTAAGAGGTTAGGTCATGTGTGGTGGCAACATTGCTCGTATATGTTCCAGCCTACTTGGGGGAGGTCTGAGTTGGGAAGATCCCTGTGAGTCAGGAGTTCGAGCTGTCAGTGTGAGCTTAGGATTGTGCCAGTGCACTCCAGCCTAGGGTGACAGAGTGGAGACCCGGTGGTCTTAGAAAAAAATGCACAATTAAAAGGAGCAGTGCATCTTGTTTCAACAAATTTGCAATCTCCTGCTCTGCACGCTTCGTTTTGGTTAAATGAGCTGACTTATCCACCCTAGTTACCTCAGCATCAAAAAGACTCATTCCTGTATCTGAACCTCCCACTTTGTTTGTTTTTTGTTTTGGGTGTTTTTTTTGAGACAGAGAGTCTCGCTGTGTTGCCCAGGTCTAGAGCGAGCACTGTGGCGTCAGCCTAGCTCACAGCAACCTCAAAACTCCTGGGCTCAAAGCAATCCTGCTGCCTCAGCCTTTCTGAGTAGCTGGGACTACAGGCGTGCCACTATGCCAGGCTAATTTTTCTATATATATTTTGC